GACTCTCAACACTCGGAGGGACCAGCTGCGCCCCCGGAACGTGCCTGCGCCATCCACGGCGCGCGGGGCCGGAGCCTTTAAGAAGCAGCGACGTGGCGTCATTTCTGCGCGACGCCCCCGCGCCCTCCGTCGCCGGAGGCGGCCAATCAGAAGCCTCCTTCCTGCTCGCGCCTGCGCGTCCCGGCTCGGAGGAGGTCGAGTGCGCTGCGCACCGGCGGAGCCTCCGGAATGACCGCTCTGCGGTGGACAGGGCTGCTGGGGATTCGCGCCCAGGGCTCTGGAGCCGGCGAGCCAGAATTCGAGTCTCGGCTGCTCTGCTTACGAGCGGTGTGGGTAAGGTGTCCGATCGCAGTGACTCCTTAGCACTTCTGAGTTAGTTATCGCGTGGATTAGATCAGGCAGCGGCTCAGAGTGAGTTGTTGTTGAGTCGCTTGCATTATTTATGAGAGGAAGATTTCCCGGGTAAGTGCACCAGCCCTGGGGAAAGCTGAGCCAGTGAAGTTAGAGGACGGAACCCGAGCAGTAAGGTGGGGGTTCCTGGGATGTAATAGGAAATTAGTGTTGATCTTGTAGGTGTTGGAAACCGTGAAGGAGGTTTAGGGAGAGAGTTTTATAAAGATGCCTCAGCTGGTGCTTGGCGAATGGATGTAGGAGGCAATGAAGGTCGTATTGTGAGAAAGAAATGGTGCTTTGGATGGAGGAATGGTGGTGGTGGTGGAGGAGGAGGAGGAGGATAAAAGCAATGGCTTTAAAAGAATAGACTAACTCCTGAGGGAGGGAACGTGCGGGATCACATCCTGGGTTAAGCGATTAGTTGTGTGGATGGTGATACCTTTGAAGGAGAGAGAGGAAACGCTAGAGGGGTGGGTGTAGGGAGGCTCTCCCTTCAGATCTGCCCAGCCTTTCAGCCCAGAGAAGATGAAGGTTGTGCCAGGAAGCAGCTCTGGATCAGCTTAGCTTGCAGGACAAGCTCTGACTCTCTAAGGCTTTCCTGCAGGTTATTTAAGGAACACAGACATGTGAAATGTAGGTATCATTTTGTGCAAACATTGGGAACTCAATAAACATCCATAAAATTAGCACATCTATGGAGATCAAGGACCAGAACAATATTGACGGAAGGCCAGCATTCCAGACAAGGCAGAATGAGGTTTTCATTGAATCAGTGTCCTTCAGCAACCCCAAAGGTTCAGCTGAAGTTTTAGATCTTTACCCTGGAGCAGCCAAGGCCATGGAACCACTGTAGTGTAGGAATAAGGCAGAGTAGTAACTGCGAGAGAATGATTCTCTTGTAGAAAGTCCAGTCATGTCCAGTTCCTCCTCCTAATTATAGCTCAGAGCCCTGGTGCTTAATAAATAGAGAGAGGCACAGCTAACCCAAAGGTGGCAGGCACTTCCCTTGTGGTTCAAATCCCCTAGTAGATTTTTTTTTTTTAAATTTTAGGTTTCTGGATGAGGGAGAAAATGACCAATCTCCTCCTATTTGATTTACAGTTTCAAAACCCAGTGAACGGTCAGCTATGAGTTGGTTTCAACTTGACAATAACGAGTAAGGTATTTCTGGACGAAATGAGAGAATGTGTGAGACTTACTTCAAATAAAGAGAAATATGGCAGATAGATCTTGAAAAAGGTGCGGCCAGAGTGCTCCTTGGAGGCGACACTGACAAAGCTTCATCTTTCATACTTGGGACATGTAGATAGGTGAGCTGTTCTTGGAAAGAGACATCATGCATGGGAAGGTGGAAGGTCCATGAAGGAGAGGAAGACCCCCAATGAGATAGAGTGACACAGTGATTTCAGCAGTGGGTTCTAGAGTATCAGAGATGATGAGGATAGAGCAGGGCAGGGTTCAGGTCAGCCCTTCATAGGATCGGTATGAGTCATACTCAGCGGCACCTAAGAACAACAACAGAGAGAATCCTAAGTGGCCGTGAAATAGTAATTGTTGGAGGTGAGTGATGCATGCAAGGACATTTGATGTACTGTTGTTGGTACTTTTGTGTACACTGGGGAATTACATAATGAAAACTAAAGAACAAACAGGCTAAGCAGCTCAAACTTATCTTCCCCGTGATACTCGCCCAGTTCTACTCTCAGGGAGCAGCAACATTCCTTTCTCCCAGTGATTACTGTACTCTGAACATCATCCTCTGAAGAAACATACTGTAATGGGTTTACTTGATATCCGGGTACCTGCCGCTCCCAGTACCTGACACACAGTATCACTTAACACAGTGATTGTTGGATGGACAGAGGCATTTAAACAACCATGACCACCAGCCACTTAATAAATATTTTCTGAAATGTGTTCTCTGTCTTTGGTTCATTTCTGTTGGTCTTCTTCCTTCATCTGGACTGTTGTTGAAGTCAAGAATGAGATCTATGACAGGGGCGGCTCTCTGCACATTGTTAAGTATTTGGTAAATACTCATTGATTTATTACCTGGAATGCCGGTCTTTTCTTCACATGTGAGAAGTTCAAAACAAAGAGCTCAAATAACAGGACACAGTGATGCACCATGGGAGGGCTGCTTTTGCTAAAGCAGCTGCAGGAGAGCGGGGATTAGTCGGGCAGGCTCTTCCTGGGAGGGGTGAGCCTTCTCTTTTGTTTTGACAGAAGGAAGGAAAGAACCACACAGCCTGGGCAACTGGTCAGATCAGGCAGGGACAAGGTAGTTGCCAACTTGAGCTGGTCACCTGCGTATCAGGCGGCAGAAGACCTTTTGTACACTTTCAGGCCACACACACTGCAGTACTCGCCACCACCAGCTTCTGCTTGTTGAGCTCCTCTTCATCAAAACCGGGCTCGAGCATGGTGAGGCCAGCCAGCTTCAGAACGAGGGTCAGCCGCCTCTGCTCCCAGGCCACACATACCACACCACGCTGGATTTACGGGCTCCTCACTCGATCTCTTTTTGGCTTGGGAGCTTCTCAGGCAAGTTAGGTGCTAATTGGTTCTGATCCTTAGAGACCTCGTGTATTACAGAGTGATGCACCGCCTTGTCCCAGGCCATCCTCACAGCTGCATCCACCGTGGCAGCCATTCTGCACAGCCTGTTGAGGGTCACCTTATTTTTCACTGACCCTCTGCTTTGCCAAGCACAGTGTCCTTCTCCAGAGATTGGTCCTTCCTCACAACATGCCCAAAATACACGAGGTAGATTGTCACTGTCCGTGCCCTTACATCAGCTCTGACTCCCAGCGAGAGTATGCATAACAGGAGGAAACTTAGCCTGAGCCCCAGCCAGCCCCACAGTCAACAAGCCCCCAAGTGCTGGGGCGCACTGTTGATGACACTGTGTCACTCTGTCTTCCCCTTTTCTGCTGGCTCTCTACCACACACAAAGTCTTTCCCCAAGCACTGAGCCCTCCTGATATCATGTCCAGAGTCTGTGAGATGAGGGCCCCAGCATAGAACCTGCACAGTGCCTGGCTCTCAGTACAGCTGGATTTGAAACTGCAGGACCAGGTCAGATGAGTGAGCCCAGAAAACAGTGTAAGATCGTAAGGGGCTGTGGGGCACAGGGGAACTGTCTGCAATGGTACTGACCACCTTCATTCAGCTCCAGCTGACCGCTCGCCCAATGGTGCCTTATCTGACCACTTCACAAGAATCCTAAAGACTCACGTGTACATGGCAAATGGAACAGGTTTTCAACATTCGCACCAAATTCTGCCTTATGAAAAAGTGTAACTTGAAGCAAATGTCTGTTGACAATATATGGCTTTGAGTCATTTTCACAGGTCAAAGAAGGATGTTAGCAACTGATTGCTAGCTCATAAAAATGAGGCAACTTTTCCTGGTAGAGGTGAACACAATAAAAATTGCTAGGGCCCAATAAAAATAATGTTGACTTAATCTTGGGTGGCCCAGGAAAACCTCCCTGGTGCTCTGGGAAAGGGAGGGGTCCGGAGGGTGGGAGGAGCGATCTGAGGGTCAGAGGCAGCTCTGTTGGGCTGTGGACGCAGTGCAGCCTTCCTGGTACTGCTCACACTGTCACCCCTGAGGGGTTCCTGCCGGGGACACTGCTGTATTGAGCATTACCGGTCCCTGATGCTCCCTGATCATCTGCCATCAGCTTTGTTTGTGAAAAGCAGAATCTCAGAGATTGGATTCACTCTGACAGTTCCAGGCTTTGCTGGTTTAGAGGCAAAGCAACTCTCAGAGAATGGATTTCTTATTTTTTTAATCATAGGAACTTGCTTTGAATGTTCATGACACTTATGTGCAAAATGCTAACAGTAGTCATTCATTGAACATATATTGACAAGCACCTATAATCCGTCAGTCCCCCTTCCAATAAAGATGGCAGCCTCAGAACCCCATGGACGGTGGCTGAGAGGCAGAAGTGACTCGATGGCTGTGGGTTGAGTTTAGATTTGGAGCTCTGTGATACTCATAGCCCTCTTAGTGCTGTGGTCAAGCATTGAGGCGGCTAACCATAAAGTTGACAGTTCAAACCCACCAAATGCTCCATGAGAAAAAGATGTGGGGGTCTGCTTTTGCAGATTTCAGCCTTGGAAACTTGGAGGGTGCTTCTCTTCTGCCCTATCACTCACTCACTCGTGGCCATCATGCTGGAATGGACTCAGAGCTGACCCTCTGGTGGGTTTTAGGGAGGCTGGAAATTGCATGGGAGGAGACTGCCCAGCTTGCTTCATCCTTGGAGCTGCTGGTGGATTTTCAGTGCAACACTCTAGAGAATAGACCACCAGAGCTCCCTACTCTATCTATCTGGTTCAGCGACTCCTAGGATACTTACTACAGATATCACATAGCTGAAACTGAACTCAGTATCTCAGTGGCATCATGGTGGGGATACTGTACTTTTCCCATTTTATTTTGGTTTTCTTTTCTGAGCATATGTCCCCATAAGCATCAGAAAAGAACAGGAGCGTCATTTCCACTTAACATCACCACCACTACCTCCAAGAGAAAACAGCCCCAAACAAAAAAACAAATTAGCTTGGAAAAAATGAGCCCTAATCTTTGAAGCTGAGAGTTGTCTGTTTTTAAAGGAATGTTTAAAAGAGGAGAGGCTCATGGAAGTACAAAAAACTGATGTAAAGGAATTAAAACAGGACTAGCTGGGAAATCCTTTAGGAAGTGCTGAGCCCAGTAGACTTATTTTATTGATGAATAGGGAACTTAAAGCCACGAAGGTGACCCAGCCAGTCACATAGACCAAGGGCTGTGTCACAGGTCTGCACCAGCCGCCCCCAGAGGCATTCTCATTAATTTTGTCAAAACAGCCTTTCCCAAATTAATCTATTGTTGAGTGCTATCGAGTCAGAAGCGGACCCTCCAGCAGGTTTTCAGTGGCAGCAAATCACACGCAAGGAGACTGTCCATCTCCCTCCATGGATTCAAACCATGTCCCTTTGGGATTGCAGCGCAGCTTCTTACTACTAGGGCACCAGTTGTTTGTTGTTGTTGTGTGCCATCAAGTCATGTACAGCAGCTCTGAACCCTTCCCTGTCCTGAGCCAGTCTCATTGAATCTGACACACCAACCCCCACTGCCCCAGTCACTGTATCAATCCATCTCATCTGGAGTCTCCCTCTCCTACGTTGTCCCTCCGCCCTTCCAAGCATGTTGTCCTCCAAAGGTCTCTCCTGGCCATGTGTCCAATGCATGTGTGATGGAGCTTCAAAATCCTAGCCTCCAACGAGAAACTTGGTTTCACCCTCTCTGAGACAGACCTATTTGTTTCTTGGTAGTCCACGATATGTCCAAGACTCTTCTCCAGCACCACAACTCGAAGGGATTAGTTCTTCTTCTGTCATCCTTAGTCATCGTCCAGCTCTCTGTAGCATAACAAGTAACTGCAAAGACAGGCCACCAGAGCTCCCTCTATATCCACATACAGTGTTCTCGTGGTCTATATAATGACCCTACAACTGCCACTCCTACTAACTCCCATTTCTGAGGTCCCAGTGAAATTCCAAAAGACTCTGGTGGTGTAATCATTAAGCACTCAGCTGCTAACCCACAGGTTAGACGTTCAAACCCACCAGGAGCTCTGTAGGAGAAAAGACCTAGCCATAGGCTCCAGTAAAGATTTATGGCTTAGAAAACCATATGGGCCGTTCCCTGTGCTACGGGATCAGTGTGAGTCAGGATTGACATGAGCACAGCAGTGCAGTGTGGGCGCCGAGAGCTGCTGATTTTGGTAGCTGCAGTGGAGTTGGTTCTGATTCACAGAATGTGAATTCTTCATTCTGTGCCCAGCAGAATGAAGCACCGTCCAGTCCTGCACCTCTCACACTACTGCAGCCTCCGTGTCCATCCTCTAGCCGAGGGTCCTCCTCTTCTTCACTGACCCTCTGCTTTACCAAACATGATGTCCTCCAGGAACTGGTCCCTCCTGATAACAGGTCCGAAGTATCTAAGACAAGGTCTGCCATTCTTGCTGCTAAGGAACATTCCGGCTGTACTCTGGCACACACCTGTCTGTGGCCCTGCGTGTGCCGGCAGAGAGGAGGCCCCTGGCCGGGCAGACCGCATCACAGCAGGTGGCCGTGTTGCCAACGTTCTTCCTTGTGAAACAGCAGTTTCAACATCAGTAATTTGTACCTTGAGACTTCAGGGTGTGTTCTCTAATTGACAGATGCTACCTTTCCAGAGAGACAGGTTGTCACTTTTCATGAAATTTGTCCTGTTTACTGCAGCTGTTTGTTCGGTGTCTAATTACATCCCATTCCTGTTATTATGGCTCAGTTACAGTCCTTGGCTTTTATAAAATAGAGCTGCTGGGAGTCTGGAGAATGCCCTGTCTGGCAGACTCTGGAAGGGGGGTCTCTGGCTTGGCCTTTGGGGTTGGAGAGCATCCAGCCTTGCTGAGCAGGAAAGCAGTGAGTACTCCCCAGCTCCACATCTACATCCCTGCTTCATGCTGGGCCCAGGATCCAGCTTTCATCCTCAAGGTCTTCAGGATGGGAAATTACAAACAGCTGGTGTCTGACATGGGAAACAAATGGCAGAGAACAGAGTGGGGGCACGGTGCCATCACTTTCACTTAAAGATCAGCAGGAGATGTTTTCATACTCAAATGAGCTTGGACCTAATATGGTGCCCTGGTGGCACATTGGGGTTAGAGTACGTGGCTGCCCACCAAAAGGGTGGCAGTTCAAACCCACTAGTTGCTCTGCGGGAGAAAGTTTTGGCAGTTTGCTTCAGTAAAGGTTCACAGCCCTGGAAGCCCAATTGGAGTTCTACCCAGTCCTGCAGGATTGATAGACTCAGAATTTACTTGAAGGCAAGTGGTTTGGTTTTGGGGGATGTGGAGGTGCATGCATATTGTAGGTAAGACAGGAGTTTTTAAGATGCTCTGTTCGGTGACTTTCTTTCCCACGACCACCTGTCCCGCTCCAGGAGGGTGCAGAAGTGTCTTGGTGGATGGTGATGCTGGTGTCATTGACTACTGTATATCCCCACTTTCTCTCTGTGTGACTGGGCAAGGATCTGAGATCCTGGAACCATGGTTTATTTATGATTTTGTGAGGGTTCGAGTTTTATATGTTACCTGCGTTACAACTTTCTCACTTACTATGAAGATGGTGTCGAAAACATACCAGTCTGCATAAAAAGGATACATGTTTCCTGTCCTGTTAATATTTTGCAATGTTGTGTTTCAGGTTTGTAACTCTGGACCTGCACATGATCACACAGAGTCAAAGAAAGCAGAGCTGCCCCTATGTTACAGGTGAGAGAAGCCTCAAGGAATGTCTGGAGTCATGCAAAATAGACTGGTAGCCTTGCTATTTATGAAGAAGACCCCCAGCGAGAAGGAGTGACAGTTTCAGCGATCAAA